ATACAGTTTGGCCAAATATTTAAAACTGCATGTCTAAGAATTGATCCTAAAGAAATAAGGATGTGCTCAAAAATTTAGTTCTAAGACCATTTACTGTGTATAAGGGTGAAATATCAGAAGCAAGTGTGCGGCATTAGGGGACTACTTAGTGCCTAAATTTATTTTCAGAATTGTTACTGGGTAAGTGGAATTTGTAGATTTTAACTATTTCTTTTACCTTGTTCATATTTTCTTGTGACACTTCTGAAAGAAGGAAAAAGCAAGATTGAAGGTCACAAAGTCTGGTTTCACTGGTCTTCCCATTCTTGTTGACAATTAGTGTGGTATTTAACCCCTGACTATAGTCACTAGTCACCAGGCTTCCCTGGTGGCTTAGTGATAAAGAATACACCTGCCAATGCAAGAGGCAGGGGTTCCATCCCTGGATGGGGAAGATCCCCTGGTGAAGGAAATGATAACCCGGTCTAGTATTCTTCCCCAGGAAATCCCATGAATGTAGGAGACTGGTGGGCTACAGTCCACGGGGTTGCAAAAGAGTTGGACACAACCTAGTGACTAACCAACGACCAAGAAAAATAATCACTATAGTCTTCCATTCTGCTCTAATTCCTGCCACTATCTTAGGGAATTTCAGAGTCCCGCAACAGAATAATCCACCTGCTCCCCAAGCTTTTAAAATTCCTTAATATCCCATTTCCAATGTCTTTCTTCGCTTCCGTGATTCACTCCAAAGAAATTTAAATCTTGCCTTCATTGAGAATTGTTTATCTCTGACACGTCTGTGCTTTTTGCTCTTTCAGGTGAAAATGCCTTCATTGTTTTTCTGATGAAAAGAAGTAACACATGGGTAACTGCAAATTGTTTTCAGAAAATACAGAAAGATTTTAAAAGAAAAATCAGAACCTTGCAACTCAAAGCTTACCACTCCGCAATTTGTAACCCTTTAAACATTTGCTAGGAAAGGTTTTGTTTGTTTGTTTGTTTTCCAAAGTGAGAATTGACTATTCATTTACTTTTACAATCTGCTTTTTGCCACTCAATGACTTATCTTTACAAACCAATAAATGCAGGCCCACATCATCATTAATATGACTGAAAAATAATTTATTGTAAGGCTTCAAGGAGATCAAACCAGTCCATCCTAAAGGAAATCAGTCCTGACATTGGAAGGACTGATGCTGAAGCTGAAACTCCAATATTTTGGCCACCTCACGTGAAGAACTGACTCACTGGAAAAGACCCTGATGCTGAGCAAGATTGAAGGCAGGAGGAGAAGGGGACGACAGAGGATGAGATGGTTGGATGGCATCACTGACTCGATAGACATGAATTTGAGCAAGCTCCGGGAGCTGGTGACGGACAGGGAAGCCTGGCGTGCTGCAGTCCATGGGGTCACAAAGAGCTGGACAGGACTGAGCGACTGAACTGAACTGAAGGCTCTAATATTCTTCATCTAACCCAAGATGTCTCAATCTCAACACCTGAATTTGGGCTGGTAAACCCTTTGCTGTGGGAGGCTGTATTGTCACTGAAGAATGTTTAGCAGCATTCCTGCCCTCCACCCACTAGATGCCAATAGAATTGTCCTCCTCCCCCAGCCCAAATCAATCAAAAATATCTCACACCTATTCCCAAATGTCACCTGTGACCAGTATTAACCCTCCTGTTGAGAACCACTGATATAATCAACCTGCTGTTGTTTGTTTATTGACTTTGTCACAAATGGAAACAGATGCTTTCACGGAACTCGGCTGGATGTTACACAGCAGCCTGGATGGGAGGGGAGTTTGGGGAGAATGGATACATGCATATGTATGGGTGAGTCCCTTCCTTGTGAAATTATCACAACATTGTCAATCGGCTATACCCCAATACAAAGTAAAAAGTTAAAAAACAGTGGTGCTTATAAATATCCTAACATATAAGCTTGGCACTTCTCCAAACTACTTCTATAGCTTGTTTTTATCAAGGAAGAGCATATTTTAAATTTTGATGTCCATTCCCCAGATTTCCTCCCAGAAATATTGTAGCAATTTATAATACCATTAAAATAGCAGGAATGTCATTTTCCCAGATCCTGTCCATTTCTAGGTACTATCAATTTTTTAATCTTTCTTGGTGATAAGCAAGGCAAAGTATTACTTTGCCCTTCTAATGTGTAATTCTTTGATTACTAAGCAGGTTAGTAGCTTTTACTATGTTTATTGACCATTCGTATTACTGCTTTGGTGAACTGCCTATTAACGTCCTTGTCCATTCTTGATTTTGTAAGGGCTATTAACTCTTCCAGTTTGCAATTTTTTTGGTAACCTTTGAGATTTCCTGAATAAAATGTATACATTTTTATGGTGTTAAATTATCTGCCTTATTATGGTTTTACCTATAGTGGTGTCGTGCTTAGAAAGATCACCTCTGAAGTCCTAACTGTAGTGTTTTAGTCTTTTATGCCCACCTTATATACCTCCATATCTTTGACACTCTAACACTAAGCCTTTTTGACCTGTAGACCACTGCAAATAAAATTTGAATGTACATAGGGATCATCTGGAAATCTTATTAAAATGCATCTTCTGATTCAGTAGGTTTGGAATGAAACAAAGGATTCTGCATTTCCAGCAAACTCCCGGGTGATGTCAGTGTTGTCTGGACCACACTTTGAGTGGCTAAGTTCTGGACCTTCAGCCCTTAAACCCCTATTCTCCCTACCTCCTTTATCTGATTGGCTTTCTCCTGAATTTGCTTCTCTTCCTACCTACTATGAACCCCAAGCACAGCAATTTCAACTATACCTCACTCCTTTGTTTATCTGGAATAAGAACCCTGACAATCTCCATCCCAGTATGGACCAAGCCATATCTTCTCCAGTCTCCAGCCACATCACCACTAAAAGAAATCACATAACTGCCACTTGCTTCTGTAACAAATATATGATTTTTAACATCAGATCAGAAATCCTTCACTTTATTCCTTGACAGTTCTCTTTCCCATTCTTTACAGTAATTTTGCCTAAATTTAATCTCCTCAACCCTATTCCACCTCCTTTCAGGCCTCTGAAGAATGAATGACAAAGAACGTCTTAAAGTCATACAGTAGAAATAACAGAAGAGTAACTGCTCATACTTTTTTTTGAGTCCACTCAGCAACTCAACATCATCATCATAAGATTTTCCAACTCTTAGAAATTTTGCTTAAAGATTTATGAATTAAACTAGGTTATTTGCTTAATAGACATCTCCCAGTTATTTAGGTAAGTACAATTACCATTTCCATCTTACAGACTAGGAAACTAAGGTACAATGAGTTGACACAACTAATGAGTGTCAGAACAAGGACGGAAACCCAGATCATGATGCTCTTAAACCTCTCTGCCTCCTGGGAAGGTTCCTAAATGCTTGGTATATCTATCACAAAGAAGAGTGACTAGCAATTTTCAACTCTGGAAGGCACATTCCATTCACATTCCCAGGCCTCGGAAATTCTGTTTAATTTGTCTGGGGTAGTGCCCTGGCACTACTGTTTTTGGTCCGTTAAAGGAGAATGTTATCCTAAATCAGTGATTTTCAAACGTTTTACACTTACTGGGCCCTTGGCAGAAGTCCCCTGTCACCCTGACAGGTGATGTATAACAGGTGTGTGAGGTGTTTGCCCTCCCCACACACCCTCAGGTTTTGGTCAAGTCCTTGCTGTCCCTAGTGCAAACACAGACCATTCCATCCTTTCAGAAAGAAGCACTTTAGGCCCTGAAACTGGCCTGGGCAGCGTTGGTGGAGGGAGAGTCGACATTACAGCGATGACTCTGATGTCTTCTTACACATGATTTCCAATTTGTCAGTGTTCAATTTAACTTTGATTTAGTCAAATTTCCCTGGTGGCTCAGCTGGTCAAGAATCCGCCCGCAGGGAGGGAGACCTAAGGTTCGATCTCTGGGCTGGGAAAAGCGCTTGGAGACGTCAACGGCTACACACTCCTTGACCCTGGCTTGGAGAATTTCAAGGACTATATAGTCCACGGGGTAGCAGAGAGTCGGACACGACTGAGCGACTTTCTCTTTCTTTCATACAGTGTAAATATCTGTCGGAAATTTTCCTGGACTCCACAAGATCCATTTAAAACTTCGGAACACACGTTCTGAAACTCCACGAGACCGCAGGGCTGAGGGTGCCTGGAGCGTCTGAGAGCCCGGCCCTGGCGAATCGAAGAGCGTAAGTGCCCGCCTGCAGCTGCGGCCGCCCGGGACTCACGGCGCATCGTGGGGCTCCATGTGCGCCCCGGGCTTGCCGGCCCGCACAGCCCAACGCGAGAAGCCGTCCCAGCCCTTGCGCGGGGGACCCCTACATCAGACAGCCGTGGTCGAGGTGAAGATACTTCCAACCTAGGGCGCCGGCAAAAACTAAGACCGCGCAAGGTAACTCGGTTTCGGGAAGCTCTCAGCCACGCCTCGGCACAAGCCGCCGCGCCCTGGAACCCTCGCGCCGCGTGGGCGCCGGCGGGCTCAGGTGAGAAGCAGGCAGAGGTGCCCGGGTCGCCCGGCTAGACCCCGCCCCGGAGTGCCTCGCGCGGTGTCTGAGTGGGCCAAAGCGACGTCAGTCAAATGTCAAGGGCGGGACCTGAGCTTGCCCGCCCCCTGGCCCAGCTATAATGTCTGGTCTCGGCAGGCGGCTGCAGCCAGGCGGCGGTGTGCGCCTGGGCAGGGGTGAGGCTTGGGGTGCGCGGGGTCAGGCGCAGCTGCTGCGACTGACGGGAGATGAAGGGAGGTGGGGACGTGCGGAGGGGCTGGGTGGGCTACGGGATGGTGGGCACCTGGGGCTGCCGGTGCTCTGGGTGCGCTAACTCCCGAAGGTGTTGCTTCCAACTTTTACCTCTTTCGGAAGCAACGAGCTTTAGTGTCGGGAGATCTGATACTAAAGAGCAGAGCGGAAGCTAGTAACATTCACATTTTCCGTCCACCCCACCGCCTTCCTTTTCTGCTCAGCTTTATTATTTTTATTCAACTCTAGAACATGGACTGTGCCCGCCTCTGGCTAGGGCTGCTGATGCCTGCGGCAGCTGCCCTGGACTTCAGCTACCACCACCAGCCAGAGATGGAAGCGTTTCTGAAGAATGTTGCCCAAAACTACAGTTCTATCACTCACTTACACAGTATCGGGAAATCTGTGCAAGGTAGGGTGCGTCTCCTGTACTTTCCAAAACCCTTAGTCCTCACTTTCATTCATCAAATATACTTTAGCTTCCTGTCCCCTTTCTATGAAGCTGCTCAGAGGGGCTCCAAGCGGATCCGTCACTGTCTTGCGTGTAGGTTGTCTCCTCCTTTGTGTGTTGCGTTGCTTTTTGTCAGGGGAGTCGAGTCCTAAGATCTGAATTTTACTAAATGTCTCCGCTGTCCTTCGGTGTCGTTGAATGCTTTGCGTGAATGACGTCCTGATTTTGGATTTTGCAGACAGATTTCCTGGAATGAATATTTTAGCCTTTAGTTTTCTAGATAAACTTTTGCAGAGGAAGTCTGTTTACCCATCTCAAGTTTCCCTTTTTGATGGCTTCTTTAAATATGATTCAGACTGTTAGTATCCTGTCTTCAAGTCTCTTTTAAATCGAAATAGTGCAGTTCTGTTGGTGAGATTTCTATATCATGTATAATGAGCCCTATGGCTTAAAGTTATGTAAAAAAAAAAAAAAAGTGACTCTGGTACTGATTAAAAAGCTGTTTTAAAAATTATTTATTGGAATAAGACAATTGCTGAATAATAAGTGTACCGTAGCAGTGACTGGTATTGCTCCTAGTATTTTCATGCTCATCATTTAAATACTTTTTTAATTTGGAAGCCATATATTGAGTATAAACATATACATGTATATTATATTAATTCTTTTTTAGTAGATAGGAAAACTGAATCATAGTGAAATTAGTATTTTGCCCAAGAACACCCAGATCACGAGTGAGTTTTATAACCAGGATTGGCATTCAGTTCATTCTGCTTCAAGGCTTAAATATTTGGGGGACAAGGCAAATAACTTTACCACATATTATTAATCTTCTATTGGTACTTCCCCCAAAACATACCAGTTGACTTAATACTTAAGTTTTGTCGAGTGTATATAATTTGGATCTCTTCTTTTTTTTTCCACACCAGAATAATACTTTAACAATCTGCAAATCTGTTCTTTTGGGTTTAAGTCCTGCAAAATGAGTGGTAAATCAAAGATCTGTGCCCGAGTCTCTTGGATCTCAACTCTTTATAAGGTGTGTTTCAACCCCAACTGAATTTTAGCTCTGTGTTTTTCAGCCAGTTTAGGAGTCTCTTAATCACCATATTCTGAAATAATCATTTCCCAAAAACTTAAGGCCATGGTTTATATTGTAAGCAGTGTTCCATAAGTTTGCTTATATGCAATGCAACAGAAAAATCCTAGGCTTGTGTGTAATGGCATCTGTGTTTTTAAACAGCATTGCTAAAGAGTTGGTGCCAGAATTATTCTATATTGCTCTATAATCCAAAATTATAGAGATTGAATGTATGAGAAAGCATATCTTGAATCAGCGTACGTATATAGCCTTTTGAAATTGTTTTCCCCTGGGGTAAAGAAGAACAACTTTAAAAGATCTAAGAATACTAATTATATCAATAAAGGAAATACAGAGCAGAGCTCACTTGAGTTATTGTTCAGTCATCGTTTAAACCACAAGGCAATGTGAATGTTGTTAATTTTTAAGTACTAAATGAGTTAGCTTTTATTTTTTCAAGCACAAAGTGCTTGTGCAAGAAAATCAGGCACTCTCTATCAATGCCAACCAGCTATTTTGAATTACCCTGCATGCTATCAGACTACAGCAATAATGAAAGCCAGCAGGCTTAATTGTTTTTACCTGTGTGCACGCTTGTAGTTAAAGGACTGGGGAATTATCATGTAAAAAATAGTGATGCTAGTTTAGATCAAAGGTTTGTATTGAGTATGCTCTGAATAATTACTCTGATTAAGAAAAATCCCAAATCTGCTATTGGGTTCCGAGCAGGAGGTGAAACTGTACAGTGGGACTGGGAGCTGGTTGCCAGGGCATCCTTGGATGGTTGTTGGTACTCTTTGTGCTAGATGGACAGTTTTCCCTGGCCATCTTGCCCTCTGATGTAAGATGCTTGCTAAGCAAACATGATTTACTATATGTGTTATTTATTTTTCTTTTTTTATTATGAATGTGGACAACCTACCTAGAAGGGAAAGTAATATTCCTACCTTGCCAATTTATTTTTAACTTATGTAAATGCCTGTCACATGTATTTTCACTGCTGTGATCATGGATTATAGTCTGCTTTTTTCCTCCTATTTCATTAGGTATTTCTATGAATTGAATGGTTTGCTAGTGTGAATTGGTTGCTATATAATATTTTACCCTTGATTATGTTAATTTCTTAGTCATTCTTTGAGCCATCTATATAGTTTCTGGTGGCCTGTTATAAACAGTGATGCTAAAAAAAAATGCATGTCATGATTAATAGCCTCCTATTATAATTGATTATTTTTCCAGTTTTTAATTTTGAAATGTTTGAAACCTACACACAAGCTGAGCACACAACATCACTCATTATTAGAGAAATGCAAATCAAAACCACAATGAGGTACCATCTCACACCAATCAGAATGGCCGTCATCAAAAAGTCTACAAACAATAAACACTGGAGAGGGTGTGCAGAAAAGGGAACCCTCTTACACTGTTGGTGGGAGTGCAAACTGGACAGCCACTGTGGAGAAGAGTGGAGATTCCTTAAACTGAGAATAGAACTATGATATGACCCAGCAGTCCTACTGCTGGCACACACCCTGAGGAAACCAGAATTGAAAGAGAAACATGTACCCCAATGTTTATTGCAGCACTATTTACAATAGCTAGGACATGGAAGCAACCTAGATGTCCATCAGCAGATGAATGGATAAGCAAGCTGTGGTACGTATACACAAGGGAATATTACTCAACTATAAAAAGTAACACATTTGAGTCAACTTTAATGTGGTGGATGAAACTGGAGTCTGTTATACAGAGTGAAGCAGGTCAGAAAGAGAAACACAAATACTATATATTAATACATATATTTGGAATTTAAAAAGATGGTAATGACAGTCCCTATATACAGGGCAGCAAGAGACACAGATGTAAAGAACAGACTTGGGCTCTGTAGGACAAGGAGAGGGTGGGATGATTTGAGAGAATAGCATTGAAACGTGTATATTACCATATGTAACATAGATGACCAGTGCAAATTTGATTCATGTGGCAGGGCACCCAAAGCCAGTGCTCTGGGACAACCCAGAGGAATAGGGGTGGGGAGGGGGTAGAACTGGGGTTCAGAATGGGGGAACACATGTATAACCGTGACTGATTCATGTTGATGTATGGCGAAAATCATCATCACAATGCTGTAAAGTAATTATCTTCTCCTATCTTTTTAATTATTCCTAAGTCCCTCTGTCTAGTGTGTTTGGCACATATTCAGTGATTTTTATGTTTGTTTAGTGGCTTGAATATTCGCCAAAGGAAAGTCTTGTGAAGCAAGCAGAAAAGTGTGCCATTTGTGTCCTGCCATCAGATAGCCCCCTTTAAAATACAAATGTATTTGTTGTATCAATAGACTCCCCAGCTTTTCTCTTCACTTCCCCTCAAATTAGTTCTACGACCATTTTAAATAAGATTTCCTACATCTGTTCTAAGAATCTTGTCTTTCCTCTTGCTAAGTCTAACCTTTATCTGAATAAGGAGGGTTGCAAAGGTCAAGGGTTAGATAACAATATGTTATAAAGTGCTTTCCATGTATTGGGTGTTTTAATACATTATTTAAATCTCAACATCTCAAAGTAAGCATTAATGTCATTTACAGAATGGGTCCAATGAGGTACAGATAAGTCAATTAACTTGCTGAAGATCACATAGCTGACAAGTGTTAGGTCTCAAGCACATCTTTTTCATCAAGGAAGCAGTTCCACATAGATGTGGTTGCATGGAGATTGTGGTAATTAGTGGAGAGTTTCAGAGTCATGTTTTGGGCATATTTGATCTGAAAATAAAACTTCTGCCAAGATCCAGCACAGTAGTTAGTTGCCACTTGTCTATTGAGCAGCTGAAATGTGACCAGGCCAAATTAAGATGTGCTACAAGTGACTCTGAAGATTTAATACCAAAAAGTAAAATAGTCCATTAATGTTTTATATTGATTTCTTGTTAAAATGTAATGTTTTAAATATATAGGCAAAATAATACATGTTTAAAAATTAACTTCACCTGGTTTTAATTTGGTTAATTGTGGTTTCTAAAACATTTTAAATTACATATGACTTGCACTACATTTTGGGCTGTGCTGATCTGGACAGAAATTTGGTATGAGCAATTTTTTTTCTGAGTACAGAAGGAACTCAAGTTCATTTAGAAAATTGGGAAGATATAACAAAGCACCAAGAAGAAAATTAAAATCTCACCATCCAAAGGAAACATGGAGTAAACTCGAAAGACTATATGCTTTGTGTTTTTATCCCCTCCCACTGAGCCAAATGTCTTGCTTGCCTGTGCAAACATATTTCTAAAACCTAACTTTTAATGCCTGCTTCGTGTCCTATCAATGGATGTACTCTTGTTTATTTAACTTAGACACCACTGATGAACATTTAGTTTGTTTCTAAACTTTTCCTGTTATTAAAAAAAAATGGAGGTTCAAAACGGAGGGGACGTATGTATACTAATGGCTGATTCATGTTGATATATGGCAGAAACCAATGCAATATTGTAAAGCAATTATCCTTCAATTAAAAATAAATTTAAAAAAATTTTAATGCCATAGAGAACATCTTTGTAGCTAAGACAACTAAAGTTGTCAGAATGCACACAGGCTTGGTAACCACAAGGCCCAAGTTCAAATTCTAGATCCTCTCTTTTGTAGCAATGTGACCTTGAGTGGTTAGAATAATTCCTGGAACATGATAAAGTATTACGTAAGCGCTGCCATTCAGGATAAGGCCTGCTATTGGGGATACATTTCCAAAAAGGAAATTACCAGCACTTAAAGCAGTTTTATATATTTGATACATGTAACCAAACTTATTTCGTAAAAGAGTGTATTGATTTGATAATCGCACAAGAAATGTATACTTAACTCTTCTAAATCTTCCATCAGTGATAAATC